CTATATAATAGCTACTATATAATTGTTTGTCCAGGAGCTGATGGCCTGCGTGTTACATTTGCCATAGGAAAGTAATTCACGATAATGCTACCAAAATGCAGAATGAAGAGCTGTGGGTGGGGGAACAGATGAGTCAGAAACTCATTGCAAAACAGTTCAGCAACCCCCACTATGAGAATCATTGAATCACAAAGCTGGAAGAGATGCAAAGGTCATCCGGTCCAACTCCTCGATTGAGACAGAAGCCTTTCGACCCAAACATTCCTAAGAGATTAGTCTAGATTCATTCCATGGGACCCTCATTGCAAGATTCATAGGTCTGACTTGGTATAAGGGAGCTCCCTGTGTTCCTATGGTGTACTGTTGCTTTAATATATGTAAACTGCCCTGGAATTTGATAGTGAAATGTGGTGTGTGTGTGTGTGTGTGTGTGTGTGTACAGTGGTACCTTGGGTTACATACGCTTCAGGTTACATACTCCGCTAACCCAGAAATAGTGCTTCAGGTTAAGAACTTTACTTCAGGATGAGAACAGAAATCGTGCTGCGGCGGCGCGGCAGCAGCGGGAGGCCCCATTAGCTAAAGTGGTGCTTCAGGTTAAGAACAGTTTCAGGTTAAGTACGGACCTCCGGAACGAATTAAGTATTTAACCTGAGGTACCATTGTATAAATGCATTTCTCCCCCAGTCTTAATGGTATCCAAAACCTATCATTCCTGCATCATACAGTCAAAATGGGCTGAGACAAAACTATTTTTAAAATGACCAAATGAATGAAATCTTAACTGGCAGGAGAGTAGCTCTGAAGTTGTTGAAGTCTGGATGATCACATGTCACATTTACCATAGAAATGAAATGTTGGAGGAACTGCCTGAGCTGATCTTAACCTTGGGCTCTTCCCTCTCTCAATAAACAGAATGAATTCTAATAGCTGCTCATTTTGGCACCCCGAGGGGCTCAAAATTCAACAGGTTCTAGGATAGGGAGGGTGATGAGGCCATTCTGATGCTCTGCTGACCTCTACCCCTCTGTCCCTGTCAATCACACTCAAGAAGGGAAGAAAGGGAAGCATCACTGGCTTGGATCAACAGGCTGATTATGTATCAAAGGTCTATCACACAGATGATGGAGCAAATTTATTTTCTTTTGCTCCAGAAGATAGGGCTTGAACCCCATGGTTTCAAATTTCAATAAAAAAGGATTTCTGCTAAACATTTGGAAGGACTTCTTGATGGCATTGGGCTATTTGACAATGGAACTGACTGCCTCAGAAGATGGTGGCTTCTCCTTCGTTAGATGCTTTAAAGCAGAGGCTGGATAGCCATCTATCAGGATGATGTAATGATGGATTTCCTGCACTGGCAGGGGAACTGGTTTAGATGAACTCTGAATTCCCTTTCAACTCTCTGATTCTGTTACTGCAAGGCCTAAGCAACGGAAGTTGCTTTTAATGGTAGGCCTCAAGAAGGGAACATTTGCAGCAAGAGTGTGCGTGCCTCTCAGCATTACCTTGCCACTAAGTAACCTTCACACATATGACATTGGGGGTATGTGTCCTACTTTATAGAGGACAGTCCTCTATTTCAAAGGCGACCAAGTCTAGTTTAAAGAAAAAGAACCACACAAAGCAAGAGGAGGGGTCTTGAAGTTGCCCATCAACATTTAGTTATCTGGACCACCAACCAAGCAGGCACACAGGTTATCTGATCACAGTCTTCCCCACCAAGGTGAAAAGCTCTGTATTTCTTTTTAATTTATAATAATAATTTCTAAATTTGTGTCTCTGTATAGCACATGCAAATCTTTTTTCAAACTGATGTCACTCTTTATTCATGAATCATAAGTAGTCACCCTAAAAGACAGAGTTCCCAGGAGGAAGAGGCGCTATCTTTGCCGATTAATCACTGCCAACATTCATTCACTAACACAGGGATATTGAGTGTTGTGCTGTGTGGAATAATTCAGGTTTTCTCATGGCTGTGTGAATGGACTCACTTATTTCCTAGTAGAAAAGGAAATGAGGGAAGAGCTTGGAAAATGTCCACCTGCATTCTCAATACATTTAAATTTCCTCCCACTATAAAACTGGGACAGGTCTTAGGTGGGGTGGTGGATGCTCTCCTGTTGCCAGTGTAAGATTCAGCTGTAGTCCAGTCAACTTCTGAATATGGAAAGAGGGCACCATCTTGTCCTTCACATCAAGCATCAAAATTTCTTTGGCTAGCCTTGCTCCCCTTTCATTCCAGTTGCCTGTACACTCTCAGCCCCACAGGACTTCATGCCTTGGCGGAGGGAGGGGGAAAAGTTGTATCACACAAGAAGCTCTGTGGGCATTTTCACAAGCAATGCTAAGAATGCTTTTCAGTCTGGAATGAGTCACTTGTGAATGTTATTGATATGCATGCTCCAGGATTTCAAGGGCAAGTCCTGTCTCATGAACCTGTTAGAGTTATTTGAGAGAGTCAACAAGCATATAGACAGAGGTGGTCAAACTGATACAGTGTACTTAGACTTTCAAAAAAGCTTTTAACAAAGTACCTCACCAAAGGTTCTTGAGTAAACTTTGCAGTAATGGAATACAAAGAAAGGTCAAGAGTTAGGGGTGAGCTTTGTGGTGGCCAAGTTTGCTGATGATATGAAATGGTTCAGGGTCATTAAAACAAAAAGAGATTGTGAAGAGCTCCAAGAAGACCACTGTAAACAGAGGGCTCACCCAGAATTCCCTTTGTACCGCATTTTTCAGGCACAGGCATTTCCCACAGAAAACCACCACTGCCATTTGCTCTGATTCAGCAGTAAAACATGGGTTTTCCCAGGGAAAAGCAGGACAAAAATAATAGGTCCACTTTTTCTATGCAATGAATATAGATAAGATTTTCTCTCAAAGCATTAGAACTTGTGGACATCAAATGAAGCTGAATATTTGGAAGAATCAAGACAGGAAAAATAAAGTTCTTATCAGTGCAGGGCATAGGTAAAGTCACTTCTCCAGGAGACAGTGATGGCCACCAACTTTGGTGGCTTTAAAAAAAGATTAGGGAAATTCAGAGTGGACGAAGCTATCAATGGCTACTAGCCACAATGGCTATGTTCTACCTCCACTGTTGCTGGGAACTGCAGGTCGGCAGAGTCCTATTGTACTCATGTCCTGCTTGCGGACGTCCCACAGGGATCTGGTCTGCTGCTGTAAGAATAGGTTGGTTCACGAGATGGGCCATTGGTGTGATCCAGCAGGTTTGGTGTGTGAGTATAAGGAATAAAACTGCTTTAAATTGGACTGGCATTCTAGGCAATACAGATCTTTCATCTGCATTAAAAGTGAGAAATACAACCTTCTCCCCGCAAAAACACAAACACATAAATTAAAGTAACTTGAAGAAAATCACTATTCTTAAACACTTTTCTTCACTGATACCCCATGTAGGCTTTTGTATTCATAAAATACCGGGTCGTGCCAGAGTGAGCATCTTTCAGTCTGGCAATCCAGCGTGAGGACTCACGCCAGAGCACTGGACCAAAAAATGGGACATACTGGGATCCAAACAGAAGCTGGGATTGGCTTCTGTCATCCAGACACTTGGGGGGTATGCAATGTATCCTGCAACCCACCAAACACTTCCAGGTGGCTGTACGTCCATTGCAGGGCACAGCTGTGGGGGACAAGCTGTCCTTTAAATAAATAATGCCTGCCACCATTATTTCTTTCTTTCTTTCATTTAACAAAACACATATATTGCTTGTTTGTAACAAAACCTCTAAGCAGTTTACCAAAAAAATATCAGTTTTAAAAACCATTTGTGGTCTTCTCATGGGAGGCCTCTGATAAGCCTTGATGGGTCAGACTAAAGGCCTGTCTCCCTATCTTCCCAAATATCTATGGGAAGCCCTGTGCCATCACTCTATCTTGTGGCAGTGAATTTCATAGTTTAACGAAATCCAGAAGCCTCACTCCCTGACACTCTCCCCCCCTCCAGTTTTAGCCAAATCATGCTTCTGCCACTCTGGGTAGCCTTCTAAACATAGATTCTAAAGATAGGACTGACTTTCGAGGTTGGCAACATTGGGTACCTTGCCCACACCCCAGAAGGAGGTCCACTGTGCGTTCACCAGAGTACCCTGCTCTGCTCCACCTCCTTACTGTTCCTGCAGTTCACCTGCCCTCTTCAAGAACACAAGCAAGGAGGAGGAATTTCCAGAGAGGTAGCTGCATTAATTCGTTGTAGCAAACCAACAAAGAGTTATGACACCTTAAAGGCTGTCATATTATGGCATAATATTTCATGGGCTGCAGTCCCCTTCAGCAGATACATGATCCTAAATTGGCAAGCATATATGCACATGATTTGGGGAAATTCTGAGGTCAGAGGGATATAAAATGGAAAAAGAATACAGACTCTGACAATTCTATTAAAAGCTAATGCATAATATAATGACCATTAAGAAAGCATTTTGTCATAGCACTGGATGTCTTAGCATTGGATAGAGGAGGCAGATTGGCAGACTTCGCTCCTGCCCTCTCCTCCTGGGCAGTGGTGCACATTGGGCTCAAAGGGAATGTTGCCTATAGCATGGAGGTAGAAGCATTTTGCCCAAGGGCCCCCCAAACATGGTGTCAACACTGGCTATGTGACCATCACAAAGGGGAAAGTGCCAGGATCCCCACTAGCCCCCATTGGCCACCTGTAATCCAAACACTGTTTTTATCTCCCCATGTTAGTAGGAAATTAGCAGCAAATGATTTTGCAATCAAGCCAAAAGCGATAGTAATACAACCTCACAAGAAGAAACAGGAAGGACCTAGTTTTGAAACGGTAAAGCACGTAAGAGCCAAACAGTTAAATACTTTTGCACCTTCGCTCCTTCAACGCTGCTTCAACGGTGCAGCTAATTGTTTACAAGCTAGAAGACTCAACAATTGTTAAGCTGCACATTTTCCACGGTAGCTGAAGCTTTCCCCTTAGAATGAATTCAGACTGAGAAATATCGCTGCTGTTTACTTACCAAAAATTCTTTAGTGAACTCCTCTTTGTTGAGCTTTCTGCTTTGGGCTGTTTCCAGATTTTGCGTGATAATTTCTCTTTGATCCATTCTGTAAAACCAGGTGAAGCTGAACTGTTAGAGATAAAGATGGACATGACAAGGTCATGCTTCAGTGGAAACTACAATGAGGGGGGGAAGTTCCTGTCGAAGTCTGTGGTTTACTTACTTCATCACAAGACCTAAAGGAAATAAGTATGTGTGTAGCACCCACTGTGGGGAAATTAAAGAATTATTCCACGCTGGGCCCTAGTGCCTCCCTTTACAAGAATGAAATAACACATCGTTTTTCGAAGAGAAAAGGCATTCTGCTTTGCTTGCATTGATTCTGCTGGACTTGCCGCTCAGATTAGATTCTTGAGAACCAGGTCATCCTTGGTCTGAAGCAATTTCCACTTGATGAACTGGAAAAATCTCCCTATAAAAATCAGCTCCAGAAAAGCTGCATCTGATCCCTGATAGAGGCCACCAAAGGGATCAGCGTTCATTACCAAGGCTCTCTTCAATCACCACTTTGAAATATCTCTGTGTAGATAAGCAGCCTGCTCATTCATCCATCTCCCCCTGGAGAGGTGGCTTAACTTCTAAATGCGTTAGTCACGCCTAAGCCCTAAACTTTGCTGGAAAACTCCAAAACATTCAGTCATCGCCGCCCTTTCACACGGCCTGGGATGAACTTTGTGAAGCCACGTCAGAATCAGACATTTATGTTAGAATGTTGAAGTTACACAGGGGTCAATGAATAAGAGACTAGCCAGTTCCTGGAATGCATGCTGTCTGAGTGACTGTGCTGTGAACATCCACACACTTTCCAGAATATCTTTATTCAATCACTGCTTTTGGAAAACTAACTAAAAACAGAATCCTGGTTATCCTTCCTACTTAACTCACAAAAATACTATGCAAGAAATGCAGAGCTTTTCCGCCAAAGGGGAACATGGCCCCCAGCTGTTTATTTGGCTTCCATATGTGGATGACTAATAATTGTGATTTCCCATGTGCTGTGGAGAAAATCAGATAGTCAAAATAGAATCTAAATAAGGCAGAGTTTATTCCTCTCCAATTTGGCTTTAACCACAAGGGGTTTTGACGGAAGACAGCACATATTAACCCAACACCGTCCGCTGTTGATTAGAAATGATCCCAAGCATCAGCACTGAGTTCAAATTTTCATATTAAAATGGGAAACAACATCTCACCTATAGCTGGACAATACTGAAATTCCAACAACATTCTTGTCAGCAGTGAATTTAACAAACCAAATATTTTGAATTCACCCGATGAAGGGCCAAAATACAAACTGGCCCTTTGTTTTAACATAAAGAATGCCCTTCCAGTTCACATGAGAAACAATATATATCAGCCACAACAGTAAGCAGATCCACACCATACATTTAAAGCACCATACATCCAGTGCACATTCAAACTACATGACTCCCCCCCCCAAAGTATCCTGGAAGCTAGGGCTGAGGTAGAAATTTGATTCAGGTAGCATTTAAAGGTGAATCTATTCAATTTGCACTTTTTGAAACAATATGAGAACCAAAACACAGCCATCTTTTGAAAGTCACAGTTACCCAGATTTTTAAATGCAGTTCTCCAACCAAACCTTTGTGGAAATGTGCTTAAAAATGAATATATTAATGAAAATAACATAAAATTGTATGGTAGTAGTGCAGTGCTTCTCAAACCAGCTGATGTGGTGAACTGGTAGTTCCTCGCCCCAATGTGCTAGGGACCAGCAGCATATTTGTGCCATATTTATTATCAGATTTACATAGGTAACTGTCTAAAATAAAAATAGTAGCAACACTTAGCACAGAGCAAGGGTAGCTAATAATAGCAAAACAGGGCAGGCGCACCTGATGTGTGGCTTCCAAATGTTGCTGAACTACAACTCCCATCAGCCCTTCCTGGCATAGCCGTCAACAAGAGACTTTTCCCATACATTTACTCTCTCTAACCCCACCCCCGCCCTCACTTCTTTCACTTCATAAAGGAGTCAAGACTCTGGACCTGGTGTGTGGTTTTCCTTTTTCTAAATAGCAAATCTCCTGTGCTGAAGAGAGAGGAGGAGAAATGTTCAAGTCCCCACACACAGCTGCCAAGTTCTCTGAAGGACCCTTAAACTACCTTTCAGGGCTGCACTGGGAAGATAAAATGAGCAGGTATAGCCATCCTGGGCTCTTAGGCTAAAAATAAACTACTAATACAAATTGGCAGTGCACTTTCGCTTGACACATTCCTCTGTTACTGGGAATATGGCTTCTAATCAAGTTAATAACTGCAGTTTTCCTTTGCCAGATTTTGCATTTTAGCCACGATAGGATAGATTGTTTTAAATTGCAGCTTACAAAGTGGATTTTCAGTGTGCACTTCTTATAGATATCTCATAGAATCATAGAGCTGGAAGAGGCTGAGGACTATCTAGTTCAATCAATGCAGGAACCTGCAACCTTGGTGCTATCAGCGCCACGCTCTAACCAACTGAATAATGAGCTCTCTCTCAGTGCTATCTGCAGGGCTTCCTTGCAGGAGCAGACCTCATGAAGCAAGAAAAAAAGTCTTCACAGAACTCAGATGCACCAGAAAAGGCCGAGGGGTTGACTGAGAGTCAAACCCGGTTTTACTGGGTGCTTTGAAACCAGGGCCAGCCCAAGATATATTGTTGCCGGGGGCAAAGGACAAGACTGTGCCCTCCCCTTATGCCACACGCAGAATCTGGACTGCAGTTACTTCATCACTGGCCTCAAACAGTGTCCACCACAGCGAATAGCAGGCTACCTTAGGTCATGTGGAGCTTAGGAAGCTCACAGGGGACTGCAGAGCTGGTCCTATTTGAAATAACTTGGTAGAAGGAAGGGGAGTGATTTTATGATGAGGCGTCACTTTGGGCAGCAGATTCTAATGGGAAAGCAGCTCTTTCAACTTTCATCTCTGCATATCACGAAACAAAGTTATAAATGAAGAGGGGCATGGTATAATTTTGATATGTTTTCCCCATTTCCAGTGCAAAATGTCGAGGTTGGCCCTAATGTTTGACACTGAGGCATCTGCCTCAGGCAGCTGATACTGGGTGTTGTGAAAGGGCAGCAAAATGTATTGGACCAGCCCTTCTAAGGATAGCTGACCTTCCAGGGTCAGAAAAGTCACTTATCCTGTTTCATTCTTTAGGGTTGCTAAAGAAACTATATACCTGATACAGCTGAGCCTAACCAGTAAGATGGGCCTCATATCAGGAAATGAATCCTGACAGGACAGGACCTCGTATTTTCCACAAGGGTAGGGTAGGGACATGTTTAAACAAGGCACTGCAACTGTGCCTTTAATGTCAGATTGGCATGTAAACATTAACAAGAGGTCTTTCAGCAGTTCATACCACTGTGGGTGAGAACCTAGATGGGTTGGAGTGTATAGCAAGCGTGAAAGGTGTTATGGAGCTCAAAAGCCACGAGAGAGAGAGTCTGTTATAATAATAATAATAATAATAATAATAATAATAATAATAATAATTTATTATTTGTACCCCGCCCATCTGGCTGGGTTTCCCCAGCCACTCTGGGCGGCTTCCAACAAAGATGAAAGATACACTAAAATGTCACATATTAAAAACTTCCCTGAACAGGGCTGCACAGAGTGGGGCCCTCTGTGTAAGAAGCTAAGGGGGAGTGAAGGCGGGCAACACTATCCCCACCGTATGGCAATCGCAGTGCCTGGAGACACACAGTCAGGTCGTGTATCCGCAGGCAGTGACCAGAGGTGGAATGACTACTGGGAGGAGCACAGAGAGAAGAAATGCCATGGTGTACTTGTAGCACGAAAACCAATAAACATGTCTCTCCCACATCAGTCTCTACAGCCACAGCAGGCACTGTAATTCTCCAGCATTTTGACACATACACCAGTGTGGTGTAGTAGTTAAGAGTGGTAGACTCATAATCTGGTGAACCGGGTTCGCGTCTCCGCTCCTCCACATGCAGCTGCTGGGTGACCTTGGGCTAGTCACACTTCTCTGAAGTCTCTCTGCCCCACTCACCTCGCAGAATGTTTGTTGTGGGGGAGGAAGGGAAAGGAGATTGTTAGCTACTTTGAGACTCCTTAGGGTAGTGATAAAGCAGGATATCAGATCCAAAACTCTTCTCTTCTTCTTTACCCCCAAAGGCGCAGCAGATGGACAGATGCCATCAAGAGTCCAACAACGTCTGAAGGAACAAACTGCAGGTTCCCTATTCCAAATTTAAAATGGTGATATACTGTAAAATCACAGCAAAGAAGTAGTTTAAAACAGAGAACTGAAAAACAATCAAACACAGAAGTAACAACATAAGCTTCTTCAGTGAGGGAGTTGCATCACCTTGGCTCCACCAACTATCAAGGAAAACCTATAATGCATCCCAGTCAGTGAGCAGTGGAGCAAGAGCTTCCAACGATGAACACAATGGGCAGCTGAAGAAGAAGGTCTTCCAAATAGTCAGATACATTTAGGGATTCATGGGTAACAGCCAGCACCCAGAATTATTCCCAGAGTTTACCTTTCCTCCCCCCTTCCTTGTTTGCAATCTGCATTTCTGAGTGCAATTTTGAAAGAAGAAGAAAAAAGCATGTGTTTGTATGTGTGTTTGATTTTAAGTTTTGCAAAAATACATAGAAGTGGCTTTGCCCTGGTGGCTGGTGCAAACTTAAGGGGACATTAAATGTCTGGCAGGGAGAATTCGTCTGGCAGAGAAGAAGACTTGATAGCCCCACTTCCCTTCTGAAGATGCTGTGGCTCTGTGGTTGGTGCTTCTGTGAATCATACTTCTGTGAATTATCAGGTATAACTTCATCTGGACAGAGTCAGAGGAGCATTAGATGAGCAGCACAAGAGAGTGCCTACTTCCTAAAGCAAGAAAAACTTATCATCAATGCCTGGATTCTTCTTGTACGGGTTTGTTCATAGACAGTGCGCAAGATGAATCGCTGTTTCACCCTTTGGATTTCTTTGTATGTGGGTAAGAAAAATGTTTTGGAACATCTCTTATCCAGAAAGTTTTTCATTTACTCTGATTTCCAGATGGGTAGTCGATGCAGTCAACCAAATTATGAAAGGATATTAAGGGCACTGCAATCCTGAGCAAAGGAATATTAAACTGGTAGAAATCAGCCCTGAGTGCTCACTGGAAGGACAGATCATGAAGCTGAGGCTCCAATACTTTGGCCACCTCATGAGAAGAGAAGACTCCCTGGAAAAGACCCTGATGTTGGGAAAGAAGAAGAAGAGTTTGGATTTGATATCCCGCTTTATCATTACCCGAAGGAGTCTCAAAGCGGCTAACATTCTCCTTTCCCTTCCTCCCCCACAACAAACACTCTGTGAGGTGAGTGGGGCTGAGAGACTTCAGAGAAGTGTGACTAGCCCAAGGTCACCCAGCAGCTGCATGTGGAGGAGTGGAGACGCGAACCCAGTTCCCCAGATTACGAGACTACCGCTCTTAACCACTACACCACACTGGTAGGGCACAAGATGGAGGGCACAAGGAGAAGGGGACGACAGAGGATGAGATGGTTGGATAGTGTTCTCGAAGCTACCAGCAAGAGTTTGACCAAACTGCGGGAGGCAGTGGAAGACAGAAGCGCCTGGCGTGCTCTGGTCCATGGGGTCATGAAGAGTCGGACACGACTAAACAACAACAACAACAGAACAGAAAAAAATGGCAGGGCTGGCTCGCCCATGAGGCGAGGTGAGGCTGTCACCTCAAGAAGCAGATCCGGACCAGAGGAATGTGCCGATCGCTGCTGCTGATTCCTCTGCCACTGTGCCTGGGCCAATGCGGCTGCCCCCCCCCCCATTGCTACGGTCCTCCTACCACTGTGCTTTCCCTGCCATGCCTGTGATGTGGTGGCAGTAACAAGGCAGAGAGGTTGCAGTGGCACAAGCAAGGGCACATTTGTGGTAGGGTGGGTATGGATTGAGGGGGGCGGCATTTAGCTTTAAGCAACTTTCTGTTCCATCCTATCTTTTGATGGTGTTTTTGAAGATAAAAATTTTCAGCATATGAACCCTGAAATCTGGCATCTGCTCCAAACTTAGGCCAAAGTGCTGCAACCATTTTGCAGCATTTTATGGTGCAAACACCACATTCTGCAGAGCCCCCAAGCTGAGAAATTTATGCATCAAACCGGGGTTCATAGTTAACTCCCCCCCAAATCCAACATTGCCCGATTTACTCCAAACCTGTGCCAAAGTTTTACAATTGCTTTGCTGTGTTTTGAAGCACAAACACCATGTTTTCTGGTGCCCCCCCCCCCCAGAGTAATACTTCAAACCAGACTTTAGATTGAATCGGACACTGTTATATTTTAAAGTCCATTCAATATCTGCCAAGGCCCATACTCAGAGCAGCTTCACAACATAAAAATGCAGAAGGGAACATATATCTCTCACAGGTCAATATATTTTCATATTTTTTTCCAATTTATAGAATGCAATTGTGAAAATACAGAGCATTTCAAAATGGTTCTAGTTCCAAAATCTGACTGTTCCACTCTACTGCTTACCCCAAGGGTGGGGAACCAATGGCCCTCCAATTGTAGTTGGACTTTGATTCCAGCCAGCATGGCCTTTGGTCAAGAATGATGGTCGTTGTAGTCCAGCAGCAAGGACCACAGGTACCTGACCACCTAGGCTTTCCTAGTGGAAAAAATTGAGCAACCTTGAATGAGCAGGACCAAATGGGACACACACGCTGTAAATATATTTTCAGTTTTTTCCGTAAGGAGCCGTTAAGAAACATTATAACATGAGAGGACTAATATATAGCTGCAGGAGAATGGAAGCTGATTCACATTTAGTATGATGCAATTACCCAGTTACATTTTTGACATATCGCCCCATGTTTTTCCCCCAACAGATTGTTTTACAGCATTCATTCAGAAAAATACAGAAGAGATAGCCACAGAGGGGAGAAGCACAACAATAACTTGCTTCTATGATATGGAATACAGATTTGACAATAAATATTGGTGCCGAGGAAGTTCCCGAACATCTTGTGATATTTTAGGAGAAACAAAGAAGTTTGTAAAGTGGAACTATGAAAACAGATTGACACTCCTTGATAACAGGAAAGGCGTCTTTTGGGTGACAATGCACCAACTGACAGAAGATGATTCAGGAACATATTGGTGTGGAATTGAAAGGCCTTTTGCTGACATAATGACTTCAGTGAAACTGAAGGTAAATAAAGGTAAGGTGTCATATGAGTCTCATCACCACCTTTATTGTTATAATGCAAATAGAAATAAAGTTCTTGTTGCCAGCTCTGATGGAGTAAGTCAGCCTCGTAAATACAGTAACTACACAAAAGTTACCAGCCTCCATTTTTTTTTATACTACCCTGTATTTTCATGCTGGCCAAAGAGGAAGGGATGTCCTTTCCTCTGTGGTAAGCATTAAAGCCTGGTTGTTGTTTTAAAAAGGACTTCTACCAAGCAGACTGGTAGAGGTGGGACAAAATGGCAAAGTGATCTCTCCCCTCTCTGCAAGTCTCCACCATTTCTGTGCTTGGTTGTGGACAAAGAAACTTTCCTTCCTCTACAATTGGAATTGAAACCAAGAGGGCTGGCAGAAAAAGGACAGAACAATGTATCCTTCCACTGGTAACCCTTCTCCCTTGCCAGCATAGAATTTCATGTGCTCATCTGCATAGAATTTCTGAGCACTTAGGGCTACCAGGAGGGTTGTTAAATACAAGGCTAGACTACTCAGTAGGCACCAGTCATGTTACATTAGGAAGGCCAAGAAAAGTATGCATAGTTTCACCCCAAAACTGACATTCCAGTTACATATATAACTGGAGCAATTAGGGATTGCATAGAACTTCCCAGTAGTTTATGCACTTACAGTTCAATCTTATACAAGCAGTCTTCGCCTGTTCTCATTCATACTGCTAATAACAAAGTGTCACACACCTAACTTTAGATCACATGAGTAAGGTATTCAGTTGCAAATCTCCATTTTACAGGTGGGTAGCTGTGTTGGTCTGCCAAGCTCATACCAATAAAAAACTTAGCTGGTCTCTAAGGTGCTACTGGAAGGAATTTTTTATTTTGTTTCAATCTCCATTTTGTGGGAGTTGTCTTTTGTTCTCAAGCAACTAAAGACAAAGATGTGCAAATGTGTCTCTCCTGGAGAAAACAGCCTCAGGCTGGAATACAAGCTAATGGAATGGCTGTGGAATGGCTGTCATGCTGCTACTCTGGCCTGTATTGATTGCTCTAGCCATTTCCTTCTCTATGGCATGTTATCCTACTAATTTTTTAAAAACAACATGTTCTTTATAATTTTTCTTCCCTCCCACCCCCATTGCAGTATGGGGAGGAGCAATCATGACCACTGATGGGGAGAGGAAGTGTTTAATTTCCCACATGCCATGTTCTTCATATTAACCACAGGTGAGGGTTTTTTGGGGGGGTGAGGTGGGGCTGATTGCAGTGTTTGGTATTGTTTGGTTGCTGGCTGAGTAGCTAGGCCCTGGACTATACCCACATCCCAGCTCTTATCAGGCCATGACGTGCAATCCAATGTCTTCCCCGGTCTATTCTAAGGTTACCAGATTTTTTTTTCAATGAATCTGGGGACACTTTTCAACTTCAGTGGATTTTGTATGGGGATTGATTTGTAAATCCAGGGATTGTCCCCGGGAAACAGGGACATCTGGTAACCTAAGTCTACTCTGGCTTGTCCCCTTTTGTTGCTGATGACAGACCACTGATGACAGAACAGCGAGGTATCAGAGCTTCCATGCCTGCAATGGGGAGACTTGCCAGAACAAAAATCCTCTTCTGCCTGCCTCTCCCTGACAGTTAGAAAGATCCACTTTACCTTATGGCCACTCTGATGCCAGTTCCAGAGACTCTAAGATCGCACCCTAAGCCAAGAATTATTTTTCATTATTCATTGCTTGCACAGCTAATAACCATGAATCATTTCTATAGTATTTTTCAGTGTAAAGAGTGTGCTACCTTTCTCATAGCACAAGCAATTTGCCCAGGACTGTAAATATAACAAATTATATTTCATTGCTATTTTTCAGCTCCTACAACACGTTGCCATGTGCAAACCAGTCCTCCCTCCACTCCCTCATCTACAGCTGAGGTTACTACAGCTTTCCCAGATATTTCCGATTTTAATTTAAACGCATCTCTGTCTTCCAATGCCACTTGTCATCATAGAGTCACAGAAAGGTAAGTGCCATCTAATCATAAGATTATATTTGCTGGCTAACTTTGCATAAACAGAATCCACATTTTGTTTCTAAATCAACCTTTTATTTCTGCTCTGGTGTACATACTAGAAACAATGAGCCCCAGTTCATTACCTGCCACATTCCCAATGAAGGAGACAATGAAAAAATGTTGTACTTGCCAGTTTGGGGGTGGGGATACTCTGATTGGGTTTGAACACAAAATTTGGTAAGTTCCCTTTGACTTAATCAGTGAGGGTTAAAACTGCATGAAGAATAACATCTGACCATAATTAGCATAACTATTTATGTGTCTTAAATGCATCACTTTTATGTGACTTCAAAGCATCACTTTCAAGGACTGGGAAGTTCAGCCACCAACACCCACTTCCAAACCCCCACTCATGCACCTGCTATTTGCATTGATAAAATGAGTTGTGCAAGTTGTGCTTAGTGTTTCCCTGGGCCTAAGGCAGGCACCCTGTTAAGCAGTTGCTCCATGTGTTTTATGATTGCTATCTGCTTTCTTGCTGGAGGCAAAAACTAGCATTTAACACCTTTTGTTCTGCAGCAATCAATTGTGGGGGTGAGGGGTCCACAGTTAAGGCATAACTACAATTTCCCTATGGTGCCAAGATGTATACAAATGGCAGGGTGGTGGTGTGTATCATCACCAGGAGAGCAAAAGCTTGTCTTTCCCCATCACAACATACAGTGCTCATAATGGTTAAATTTCCTTTAGTTGAGATACGACTCCAGTTTGTAATTTACTTTCTTGCAAAATCAGTAAGAGCAATTGTTTAGGATTTCCCCCTCTTTCCTCCTCTGTTTTAGAAACTGGAATTATAGCCCATGGGGTATTCTACGCTGGGTGTTCATGGTTCTTCTCGTGGCTTCTTTCATTGTGATTCATTGGAACATCATATCTACATAATGTAAGAGTGTATTTATTGTCAACTATTACCCCTGAGGATTATTACAGTCTATTTAAGAGCATATTGGATTTATTAGTGAAAATCTTTGGCCCAGGAAAGCAAAGAACTGTAGAGGAGGAAGCTGTAGAGGAGAACCACTTTCCAAAGCTCCTCCCTCTTTTCAGCCCAGTGGGCTGAAGAGGCTTGGCAAGGGCTTCATGTCCACCCTTCATTGTGGGGCAGAAGGGGGTGTGCCTCAGGCCTCACACACCAAAACATCTCAGGCCACCCCTGGGAGAAAGCGATTTTGACCTGCCTAATCATCAGCAAAAGCAGAATCCTTTATACTAATCCCCCATAACCAATTCAGCCTTATTGTTGAGATTAGAATGCAGAGAGCAGTAGTGGCATGAACAAGTTAAGGAGCTATCAATATTTGTTCCCTATCCATAAAATTGTGACAGTTTATTTAAATCCTGCCATTGAGTCGATATTCTTTCTTTGTTTCTGCAAATATTGTAACAAAGGGAAAATATGATAAATTGGGGGGGGGACAGCAGAATATAATAATGAGGATAATAAATCAGAAATGGAAGTTGAGGGAAGTCCAAAGGGTGGGAGGGGGAGATGTTATGCAAACTGTATATTATAAGTATATTTGTGATGAGAAAAAAGAATATCAATAAATTTTTAGTTTATTTTTTTTAAAGGTATCAATTTTTGGGGATATCAAATTTAGTAAAACATCCCAAAGTGAACTATTCTCCATGCTATAGGGGAAAGTGGCACTAAATGAAACTGAGATGAAATGGTCTCCCGTTTTATGCAGCAGGGATTGCAAACCTGTGGTTCTCCATAGGTTGTTGGCCTACAGGTTGCATCATTCCTGACTGTTGGACATTGCTGGTTGGGCCTGTTAAGGAATTGGAATCCATCATCATCTTAAGGAACCACAGGTTCCATAGCCCTGTTACAAAGGATGACCAGAGTGAGCAAGTTTAAAGTTCTCTTGGGTGCCCCCCCCATTTTATTTGTTTGTCTTTTAAAGTGCTTTACAAAGCTTTTAAAAAAAAATAACAAAAACAAACTAGGCTTATTTTTGCAGATGGCAAAATGAGATAAACCCAGTGAGTTGAGCTGAAATATGTGGCCCAATTTTCCAAGTATTCAAAACAAAACTATATAGTTATCACAGGAACATACAATCAGTCAATCCAAGCCATTGAAAGATGGAATGTTGTGCGGAAGTGTGGTCACATGAGTGACTTTTGGCATCACTGAAGGCACACAACACCTAGATATCATCATTTTATTTTATTTGGTGATTTAAATTAAAACAAAACAAAATAAAGGCAGGTCGAGTGCAATTCTAGTGCAGGAAAGTTTTCCAGCTCCATTTCTCTTAGAGTAGCAAAGCAGAGCTAGGCATATTTTATTAAAAGTGATATATTAGGGATTATTTTGTCCTCTTCTGTTTTCAAGGTTCTCCTAAAATGAAAAAAGAAGGTATTAATTGGAAAAACAAAGAAAAATCAGCAAATGGAAATAAAAGACCTAACTTAGAAGCACCTTGTAAAGATCCCATCACACAGAGACAAGGTGTGAAAGAAATACTGGAAGTAATGGGGGCATGCAGTGCCAGATTTACGTATAAGCTAAACAAGCTATAGCTTTGGGGCCCAATCTCTTGGAGGCCTCCAAAAAAATTTAAAGGAAAAACAAAACCTGGATGTACATTTCCAAAATATAAGATAAAAACAAATAAAATAAAACCTACATACAGCAATAGTGTTTTGTGTTTATTAAATTACCATATAGCATATATTCAGCACAAAAAACAGCGACAATTTGTTGTTGACAAAGGACAGCTGGACATATAAAGGGCCCCATTACCTTCAGTAGCTTAGGACCTCATCAAACCTAAATCCGGCCCTTTGGGCATGCAGACAAAATGAGCAGATCCATTCCTGATTCAGAACAGAATGCTTTGGTCTAAACACAGCTTGCTCCATCCCAGGATGTATGGCAATTCTGGAAGCAAGGACTCCTGTGAGCAGGGAAAGTGCTCTACAATAATCTATTGATTTAGCAAACATCGTCTCCATCTATATTCTGTGGCCCAGGCCTCTAAACACAACAGCACCCATCCATTGTGGGGGCTGCACCCTCTTCTTTTTAGGAATAGGTATCCTGTTTCCATACATCAGACAGAGAAGGAGCAGCTGCAGTGATCTTGCTTCCCCTCCTCCCAGCTCCAATGGCCAGTTGCCCTGGAATTATACTGTTACCATCCATCAGCTGTGTTTGTGCGTGTTGTTCTATTCTGTTGCAGGGGCAGATTTTCGTAAAACAACACCCTGAGCAAGGACAAAATTTGGTGGCACCCCATAATATTTATTTTCACAATAATTCCTTTTGGCACAGATGCTTTTTAATGGATCTTCTCAGTATGTACTTGTATAAATATATAATTACTGTTGTTATTAATGTTATTTTTTGCCCCCTCAGCTCAGCACTCTGTGCGGGAGAACCACCCACATGGCCCTAAATTTGGCACTGTTCTATTACAAACTATTGCCATCTATGCTATGATAATCTCTAGGTTAGATTACTGCAACTCATTATACAGCGGGCTTCCTATGGACACTTGGAAACATCAGCTGGTATGCAATTCCATGGCCAGGTTGCACACTGGAACATATTACACTGTTCCTGGCCTGAACGCACTAGCAGCCTATCAGTTTCCAGGTCTAGTTCAAAGCCTTAAATGGATCAAGACCACAACACCTCAAGGATCGCCTCTCTCCATATGAACTGACCTGAACCCTGCAACCATCCTCTGAGGCCCTTCTTCATGTGCCTCCTCCATGAGACGGCTGCAGGGTGGTAACACCAAGTCGGGCCTTTTCTGTGGTGGCTCCCCATTTTGTGGAAGGCTCTCCCCAAGGAGGTTTGACTGGCGCCTTCATCACATATCTTTAGGCTCCAGACAAAAACGTTTCTCTTCAACCAGGCGTACGGCTGATTAACATTCTATGTCCTTTTAAATGTGTTGCGGGGGGTATTGGTTGGGTTTTTAAAAAAATGTATTTTGTGTTTTCATTTTGTATTTTTATATTGTGAACTGCCCTGTGATCTTCGGATGAAGGGCACTATATAAATTTAATAAATAAAAATAAACAAGCATCCCAGACCCTAAGATTTCAGGGCTCAAACCTGAGACCTAGAGGAACCCCAGGTGACGTCATGGAGGCAGCCCTTAGTTTTTCTTCTTCCCACCACTGAGCCCTGGAGACAGAGGTTAATTGGTAGAGGGAGAGGAGAGCGGACCACCCCCTTAGAATGTATGTAGTAATTTGCAGCCAGCTCTAGCTGGACTGAAGCTTACAAGCTACATTCATAGTCTTCTTCATTATTATTATTTTAAGGCACCTTCACCCACCTGGGGATTGAAACCTTTTCCTCTGCCATCTGGAGGGAACCAGGGAAACCTGGAGATTTTAGGTCAGCCCTGGTGGCCTGTTAACCCTTGTAAGCTGCCTTAAAGGTTTTCTGACTGAAAGGGAGGAAATAAATCTTGAAAACAAACTAAAAGAAAGTGAGAAAGTGTTGGAGTTTTTACACTTTACTGGGTGAACTGCTGAATGGAGATGGTTGGACTGTGTACCCAAATGCTAACTTAACTCACCCAGCCACCTTGCCTTTCAATATAGTGTCTCACTTCCGGAGCTGCGTTGATTGCCTCTGTGAGTAAGCGCGGCTGGGCTACAGCATGAGCTTTCTTTGCAATGTATCGAAACAACTTTACAGCGACAACTAGGAAAGCTTTTTCATATGCCAGCTCAGGATTCTGAATTGTCCAGGTCTTGCTGAGAGCCTCGACATTTTCTTTGAATTTCCTTCCCTGTAAACGGAGAATGGAAATTTCTAACATACAGTACACACAAGACTGCAAAATAAAGGGCCAATACACTGGGGAAGCAGCTGTAATATGCAACACACACACTCAGGTGAGCCGGCTTGCCCCCACGATTGAGGGGGCCAGCGTGCGAGACATAATCATGTCACACGTGTGTCATGCATGTACCCCCTTTAATTCAGAGCAGGGAAGTTCCCTATGAGCAGAGACTGAGGTGGTGTTTTTTTGTTGGAGAGGTAGGAATGTATATTACCTCTGCCTCTATGACCTCCTGTGCTGGTCTCTCCAAGTCTGCATTAAACTGATCTCCTAGGCGTCTCAGTGTATTGGCAATAGGAACTGGGTCAAAAGGGCTTGCAGCGCTACCTCCACCTTGGAAGAAAGTAAACAGAGACTTATGTTTTAAGTCCTAGTAACATTCTAGTAATATTAATTATAACTAGGCGTAACCCAGACAGCTTTAGGCACTGTCTGGAGAGGGCTACACAAAACTGCTTTCCCAAAGAACACACAGTGAAAAAGGCAAGACTCCGCAGAATAGAGGGGGAAAGAGAACAGAGCAAGCATGGAAGGTGAGGTGGAGAGGCTGGAAAAGGTTTGTTTTATTTTACATGTATTAGAGAGAAATTCCCACTCAACCTGCAGCTGTCCAGACTCCAGCCCATATATCTTCGGTCATCACACCTCGCTTTGATATTCTGGCAGGGATGCAGGCTGTTAGGAAACATTAGCTCCTGCATCTCCAAGCAGACACCAACTTCCTCTCCTCTTGTAACAGGAGTGGGTCCACTCCCCCCCACCCTCACCCCCAAAACTCAGATGTCTACCAGCTGGCACCAAATACAAAAGAAGGGCAGACATACGCTTAGAATTAAGAGATAATGCACCTCTAAGTGTATTTTGCCTCACGAAATAGCTTTCAGGATTAGAATTCAGGTCATAGTCCCAACACACAAAAATCCGTTTACTGTTTTCCCCTCTTTGTTCCAGCAAACTGATTGGGGTGGTTTATGTGTTGTTATTCATCATGCAAAAGTCTGGTCAGGATGAATCCCAAGCCAGAATTAAGATAGTTAAAGCTATGGTTTTCCCAGTAGTGATGTATGGAAGTGAGAGCTGGACCATAAAGAAGGCTAATAGGCGAAGAATTGGTGCTTTTGCATTATGGTTCTGGAGGAGACTCTTGAGAGTCCCATGGACTGCAAGAAGATCAAACTTATCCATTCTTAAGGAAATCAGCCCTGAGTGCTCACTGGAAGGACAGATCCTGAAGCTGAGGCTCCAATACTTTGGCCACCTCATGAGAAGAGAAGACTCTCTGGAAAAGACTCTGATGTTGGGAAAGATTGAGGGCACAAGGAGAAGGGGACAACAGAGGACAAGATGGTTGGACAGTGTTCTCAAAGATACCAGCATGAGTTTGACCAAACTGCGGGAGGCAGTGGAAGACAGGTGTGCCTGGCGGGCTCTGGTCCATGGGGTCACGAAGAGTCGGACACGACTAAACGACTAAACAACAACATGTGTTGTTATACAGTTCAATGTGAGAAATCCTTGGTGATCTGCTCCAAACCACCCAGAGACCTATTGCCTACCTTTTGCCCACCCAGTTTTACAATGCTGTTCCCAAATAATAATAAAATCCATAAAGGCTAGAGAGGAACAATGAACACTTATATGTTGCAGCTTCTCCTTAAATGCACATTAGTTTGCTACTGTGTGATAAGGGTGACAGTGACTTCTGGCCCAGCCTTAGCCATGCTGTCATGAGAATCCCAAGGCAAAAGGCTCCCTCTTCTTGTAGACCAGACCACACAAGGGTATGTGGATGTTCTGGCCCTTATGACATCAAGGACCGTCATCCTTGGTGCAGTGAACTCCAGAAGGCCCCTATGCATGCATGGTGGCATAGCTATCCTTTTCCCCCTCCTTTGGCAGGCATTATTTCCCAAGTATTCAGAGTTGACCCTCTTGACTTTGCCTTTCACTTTCCTGTTTAGCAATCTTCTCATTTGGGGAAGCTTCCTCTTCTGAAATCAGATGCGGCCATGTCAGATTTTATTTGCAACTGGCCATTTACAACATATGGCTACATACATAGCTAAGCTGGTAGAGCATGACACTCTTAATATTGGGGTCATGAGTTCAAACCCCACACCGGGCAAAAGATGCCTGCATTGTAGGGGGTTGCAGAAGACGACCCTCGCGGTCCCTTCCAACTCTACAATTCTATGAATGTCTTCTATGAATTTTAATTTAATAGCACTATAACTGTTCCCAAATAACTGCCTAGGACCCTCGTACCTACGGGACTGCCTCTCCTGGTATGCCCTGTGGAGGACCTTAAGGTCCATAAATAGCAACACTCTAGAGGTCACAGGCCCTAAGGAAGTCAGATTAGCCTCAACCAGGGCCAGGGCCTTTTCAACACTGGCTCCGGCCTGGTGGAACACTCTCTCATGAGACCAGGGCCCTGTGGGATCTGATTTCTTTCTGCAGGGCCTATAAGACAGAGTTGTTCCACCTGGCCTTTGGCTTGGAATCAGCCCCTCTTTCCTTTTCCTTCTGTGATGGAACCCCTATTTGGGGACTTCCCTGGCTTTTCTAGCCCATGGAAGACCAGTCTAGATAGTTGGCTTTGGTGAAGATTTGACGTTTTCTCCCCCAAAACAGTTTTTGATCAGGGCTTCCACTGAAATGAGGCTGCATTTTAATCTTGTTTTTAAGTTGTATTTTAATCAATTGCTTTTATACCTGATGTTAGCCGCCCTGAGCCTGGACTTGGCCAGGGAGGGCGGGATATTAAAAATAAATAAATAAAAATTAAAAATAATATAAATAAAAATAATAAATAAAAAAATCTCAACCATTATATCCTGCACCAGTCCTGGGCACCAATCAAGATTAGGTCCAGCATCACCACATAAGGTATCAAGGAATTTAATGTATCTGTCGTGACTTAACATATATGTGGCCAGTCTCTGTGAGGGTAGTTTAAGTCACCCATTACTACAACATTTCCTCTTTCGGGTGCTTCCTTGACTTCATTCTTCATCTCAGGATCTCCCTGTGCATTTCGATCACCCAACTCTACCTCATAGCATTGCTGTGAGGATAAAATTTGGAGGGTGAGGGAGCCGTGTTTGCTGCCTTGAGCTCCTCAGAAGAAAGGAGATATATAAACTGAATAAGTGAGTTGCCAGTGCCCAGCTTGGGCTGACTTTCCTGCCATGTCCAAACGCACTGAGTGTTAGTATTTAGAACTGTGCTAAGCTTTAGAGTGACAAAGAGCATGTTCAGACAAAACTCTCTGCTTTGCAGGAAGTTATGTGCCGAAAACTGAATTTGTGTTGCGTAATATGTAAAGCATTGCTCTTCTGGTAGCATCAGCTTACTTTGTGCTATGTTACTTCAGCATAAGGTTCCTAAAAAATGATATGTACGTTACCCTGAAAGCTCTGACTTTGAGGTAAGATCAGACTTTGACGTTGCAGGGCTTCATCTCTTGTCTCACTGGTAGCACGGGCAAGCAGGGAAGGAGGTGGGCCTGGCAAAAGACATGGCAATTGTAACTTTCTATGCTACCAACGCCTTTCCTTTTTGGGTTGCTCATAATAAAGTAAGAAGCAACCATGACAACAGCCCAGCTCACTTGGTGTCAATCTTTGCAGTCATTACACAGAAGAGCAATACATGAAATGATCTTGTATTTGCACATAGGTTTTGACTGAATTTCAAGGAGAAACAGCCTTGGACAGTTTCCAACTTGGAGAATGTTAAAAATTGCCTTCTCCTAACAGGTTTTAATTACCTGCAAAGCATTTGAGTTACATCCTGTCATGGGTTAATTAGAGAGCCATCCTCTGCTGAAAGTGGGGAAATATCAGAGGAGGCAGAAAAGCAGGCAGATTTCCTTAGCCAGCTTTCTGGTGACAGATCCAGGAACAGTCTTCTGCAGGAATCTGCTTTCAGTGACAGGTTATAAATGAGTGACAGGTTATAAATGTTTGTGAGTGCATATTCCTCACCCCACCCCAATTCACAAGCCTTCCTTTTGCCCGTTGTAAAATACGCTGCTAACATGTGCTCTTGTGCACCTGCTGAGAAGATACCGTTTTTTTTCTGTGTATAACACGCCCCCTATTTTGGGGGACTCCAAATTAAGAAAATGGGGGGAAATTGCCCAGAGTTGTTCAGCTTGGGGTGGTGGCGGCCCAGAGTTGTGGAGCTTTTTTATGGGGGATTGCCGAAAATTGCTCACCCGCTTGACCTATGCGGCCACTCGCATGCGTTGCCAAAGCGACCTATCGTCTGTCCCCTCGTTGGCAGTAGTCGCCAATCGCCCACCCAATCGCTGCAGCGACAGCCAATCAACACCAGCCCTTGCCACAGCCACCAATAACACACCCAGTCACCGCTGATAATCTTCTGCTCACGGCAGCAACCAATACCACATCGCCCCTATGCACTATCCGTGTATAAGATGACCCCCAATTTTTAACATAATTTAAAAATAAAAAAACCTCATCTTATACATGGAAAAGTATGCTATATGCATTGGTAAATATATACAATTTGGGGGGAAAATGTAATTTAGGGTGGGTAATAATTGAAGGGATAAGGACATGTACATACCATGCGGCTATACCCCATCACAGACTATCCACTAGGTGTGGATGGGAAACATGGGTTTAGAACTTAGAGGCATTTTTTAAAAAACTACTTCTCTGTGAACACCCCTGCATAATTTCACACATAGGAAAATTTAATAATAATAATAATTTATTTATTTATACCCCACCCATCTGGCTGAGTTTCTCAGTTACCTGTGTGAAATAGCCCCCCCCCCAACATATGGGCATAGGCATATTTTAAGGAGCTCAGAAAATCCTTCTGTAATGAAGAACAAGGAATAAATGCTATAAACAAACTTCAGTGTTAACTATTGACTTAATATCAAACTGCTACTACGGCAATGCAAAACCAAGCCTCATTTGTAGCAAGACATTCTGGCAGCAAAGCAACAAACTCTTTTTGTACCTGCAAGTGTTAGCAGACTATTAACCAGCTAAAAGTTTTAACAGCTAAAGCTGTAGGACTGAAAGGTTCAGACAGAACTGAATAATAATAATAATAATAATAATAATAATAATAATAATAATAATAATAAAATTTTATTTATACCCTGCTCTTCCCGGTTCAAAAAACCTGGCTCAGGGCAGCTAACAACAAATTTAAAACACTTAATTGTAAAAGCAGCATAAAATACTGTATAAAAACATGAATAACAATAAAATTCAAAGTTCAGAAATAAATTTAGGGGAAAGGAGGCCAGGGGAGAATTAGCTGTGGGGTCTCAGAGCGGGTAATCTTCATAAAAGGGGAGAGGGATGGAAGAGAAGGGAAATAAAACATCAGGCTGAATTCAAATTAAAAGCCAGGCAGAATAGCTCTGTTTTACAGGCCCGATGGAAGGAGGTTAAATCCTGAAGGGCCCTAGTCTCATGTGACAGAGGATTCCACCACGCCAGAGCCATCACTGAAAAGGCCCTGGCCCTGGTGGAGGATAGTCTGACTTCCTTAGGGCCTGGGACCTCTAAACTATGGTTATTCATGGACCTTAAGGTCCTCTGCGGGGCATACCAGGAGAGGCTGTCCTGTAAATACGAGGGCCCTAAGCCACAAAGGGCTTTAAAGGTCTAGACCAGCACCTTGAACCTGACCCTATACTCTACCGGGAGCCAGTGCAACTGGTAAAGCACTGGGCGAATATGCTTCCGTGGCAGAGACCCCGTGAGGAGCCTTGCTGCAGCATTCTGCACCCGCTGGAGTTTCTGGGACAGTTTCAAGGGCAGCCCCACGTAGAGCGAATTACAGTAGTCAAGCCTGGAACCCCCCCCCCCCCGCTTTACTAAAAGGGGAACTAAAATACATGTTTATCTAATATGCCCTTTTCTTCTGACTAGAAATCTGTTATCACAGACTCGTTTCAATCTCTTAGAAAGAGATCTTTACTGAAATTACAGTTTGGAAATAAAAGTGTATTTAGTGCATTAATCAGTGAACAGATGGCTAATCAGCTAAAGTGTCTTAAAACCAGCGGGCAATTCTAGCTGCAATGCACTACAATGTAAGGATTTATTAAGAACTTTCCTTATGCTCTTAACACGGAAGTGCTGAACTTTTAAACCAAGCCTCTTTGCTTGCATGTAATTTTAATCAGCAGTTCCTGATTACACAGCTCTAGAAGAGGGGGAAGTGGTTAGAAACCTTCAGACTTCTCCATGAACAAATAATCTTACCTTCAAAACTTGCACCCTGGTACTGTAGGACACGAAATTCTGTTTTTGATTTTTGCCCCGGGAAGTCAGCAAGCAATGCTTCTGCAATCTGTTCCACCTGTTCCTCAAAAGTCATAGAGTCCTTCATGTTAGCTATTCTCTATTCGAAACACAAGTCGCTGCCACGGCTTTCCACCAGCTGTTCTTCCTATGGCTGCACAAGTTTGCGCATGTAAAGTTTCTAGCACCCAGCCTCCTAGCAGGCCAGAATATATTAAAGCTAGATTCTCCTCAGACCAGGCTACATTACAAGAGGAAGCTTGTTCTTGTGTTGCAGCTGCAGCTACACCCATATCAGGATTAGCATAGCTATCTGCTTTAAACAGTAAAAGTCACCACAAGGAAGTCATGAGGGAGCAAAGTCTAGTACGGCTTTCTCTTCCTCTTTTCCAGAACCTCAGTCAAGTTCTTCTAAGAGCAACTATAGTTATGACTATGTATTAGCATCTCACATTCTGTTCATTATAGTATTTTTACTTGTTTCTTGCAAAACAAGGAAGTATTCCCTAGATATAATATAAATATATCACTCTTTTCAACTTTGAGATCTTTCCAAACCAAATAGCATGTTAGACATGGAGGAACAAAATGTGCATATGGAGCAGATAAAAGACTAGCACTGTACACTAAACAAGAGATTTATGTTTCATTTTATATATCAGTTTCCATCTATAATGAGTAAAGTTTGGAGTGCAAATACAAATACAGAACTCTGTTTAGTACTAATTGTTCTGTGTCACAACAATGCAATCCCACGTGTACACTGTTGTAAGCCTCAATGAGTTCAACAGGGCTTACTCCTAGGTATGGATATGATTGCGCAGCCTGAGGAGGCTTTCAAGATCCCAAATAAATCTTACCACCATCAGTCATTTATTACTTTTGTTGTTCAGTATTTCCTGCCATTACCTACGGGCAGGTTTTAAACCAACCCCCCACCATGTAGTCAGTAATGTTCTACTGTATTATCAGATTTTAATGCTTTATCCAGAGTCATTTGTGGGGTAGTCTTTTCCTTTTGTTTTTTAATAGGCATGTGTAAACTGTGCTCAAACCATAGCCATGAAGTTTGCAGGTAAAACTGCAAGAGTGGCTATACGTATCTTAGAATAGATAATCCGTCTCAGAGATACATGTTCCTATTTAGACCGCTGTACTTTTGTGCAAAAGTGTGTGTACCTCACATTTGGTCTGAAGATTCCCCCTCCCCCTTCCATTTCTTTCCCACTCCATCTTCCCATTTAAACGGTTCCACCAATTCTTTCCGCTAAAAAATGTGCATAACCTTTGCAGAAGGTTCTACAATCGATACCACAGGGCTGTGACCACGCACCTATCATAGTGCACCATTTCTGTACACGTTTCATTCTGATTAAATATTCCTCATCCTTCTATCAATTCTGAATCCTTTGGGGAAACATCTGGCTCTGCAACATTAATGGGTGAATAGAGTTCATGGGAGTAGAGACTGGTGGGGGAATGAGGAGAAAAGGAAGTCTTAAAAGAGGATCTTTAAAGATGATTGATGCATCAAACCCATTGTTAGGAATGTGCCGACCCCTTTAAACTATCCAAAGTAGGCCCAATCCACTCTGAAAGGCAGCTTACAAAAGATTCTCAAAATAAAAATCACTCAAATCCACTACAGGAACCAAAGTAACATAAAACCAGCATTCTTCAAGCAGCATTCCCTGCCCTCTTGCTAGTTCTTCTCTGGTGTCAAGCCAAGCAGCAGCTCCCACCAAAATATTCCAAGATAAGGGAGTGGGACTGAGCATCTGGATCTCGCTCGGCCTGCGAGGAAGCGTTCCTCTCCTGTACAAACAGTTCATAAGAGCTGCAGCATAATTTGAAGAACGCCATACGCAAACAGACTTAAGTCTCATCCTATTCATGACCCGTATCAGTGGTCTGAAAGAATCAGGACGTCAATCCTGCCACTGTTCCCAACACAGTCTTCAAGACTGAGATGAAGGCCTGCAGTGCCTCTGGCTTGTTTTCACTCTGCTTCACCAACATTTGCATCTCTGCAGCCCCCACTTCAAGTAGCAGCTCTGTCAGGAAAAGGCAGCCTGTATCATCCTGGGCAACAAGGTAGGCCTTCCACAGCGGGGAACCAGCCTTGCTCATAGCAATAGTCTGGATATGGACAACCTGAAGTGCAGCCTGCACAGTGTCTGGCTGCACAGTTTCCTGCCAGGGAACAGCTTGCTGGCAGCCCAAACCCAGGTTTAGCCATGTCCTCTCAAACTGCTCAGCAGTCATGCACATGCTTGGTCTGAGAATCAGGCTGTTCGAACTGGTGTCGACAGAAGGAACCTCCTCTTCCTTTTCTGGTATCAGGGGCTCTGGAAAAAAAAGAGGAAACAAAAGGCAGAGTTAGGCAACACAGATCACTTTACATCCAGCAGGAACATCAGAACTGTAAGACACTTCACAGTCCATACTGAGCAGGGCAAAAGAAAAGCATCAAGCAAGCAGGTTCAGATGCCTAAAGCAGCATCATTCAATGGAGGGTCTGGTTTTCATTCAGGAAAACGGAGTGTGTAAAGCCCAGAGAAATGGCCAACTGAATCCATTACCTTCATCCACCGTTGTGGGATCTTCAGAGGGAGAATCTGTATGGGGAAGGCCAGTAACCCGGCTGGCTGTCATGGCTGCCCATTGCTCTTTGCCATATATAGGCACCAGTGAGTTAAAGTCAGAGGCCCACGCATTCACAGAGCCTTCAGCCTGCCCTTCCAAGAACCTCAGAGAGTGATCAGATGTAGGGCTGCAAAGGATCCCTTTCGCTTCCTCCATGCCAGCTTGCAAAAGACGATAGTAGAAGAGTGCACGATCCCGAACTGCCATGTCTCTCTCCTCCTCTGGATGAAATAAAGATGCACTGTTTTATTTTTATTGTTCACCAAGACACAGACTTTTTATTCATCACAGCCCCTAGTGATTCCATGCCAAAGGGCTGCATAGACCTCTGCCTCTATACAGTGTGCGATTCCCCTTGCCACCTCTGGGTATATGATACTGGCAGTAAGGGAAGCAAGGAAAGAAATGATTCAACGTATACCAGTCTAACATTGAAATCTATGAATTTTTAAAGAACTGCAGAGTTTGTCAGACCATTCTCAATACATCTCATCCTCACGAGAGATGCATTGGCCTATTTCATAATGCAGCAGACATCTTGGAAGGCTTGTACTTACCTATGCAGTAATAGAGCAATCGACCCAACATGTCCTGGCACTCAGCTGGACGTCCTATGAAGAGCCGCACCAAAGCTGTTAGCAGTTCCAGCTTCACAACCGAGAAGGTCTCTGATTTCACATTCTCTACAAAATCCTCCAAAATATAGGGGGCACTGGGGACTCTCTCTCCATGTACCCCCAGCAGCCAGATCAGTGCTTGCTTGCCCTGAGAAAAAACCAGAATACTTCACAGACAGGGCCACACTATCTCACTTAGAACCCCTTACTTATACCACCAAGAGCTAGTGGCATAAATGTTCACAGACCATCACAGAGAGTGGTGGGTTGAGCAGATCTCTGCAGAGTGAAGTGGGCTCAGAAGCTGCCTCACCCAGTAATTCAAATCCCATATACTGAAGCCCTTTTGATTTGAAGATTCTGAAAGTGTATCCCCGTTGCAAAATGCAACTCTGTCCTATGGTTACCCCTTCACCCAGTTTAAGTTTACACACTACTGAATCAATAAAGCGTTTGTCTTGCCTGCCTGCTCCTGCACACCTAGCTGTGCCAACAGCTTCTGAGGTAGCCAAATGCTAAAGATTTTCTTCCCTGCTTTCTCACTTGAACAAAAGGTGGAAGGATACCCTTTTGGCCCTTTGCTTTCATATCAATGCATAACTCTAGAATGGTTCGATCAGGAGCCCTACCTTGACCGAACTGGAAAAGCAGAGACGTTACAATACAAGTCGAAGCGCCATAGTTTTTTTTGCAAATAGACCACATATACACAGTTCACCTAAGAAGGAAGAGATAGTGCAGACCTCCTGCAAGACAGAGGGCAGGCTGATACGATCCCAGAAAGTTTTGAAAATTAGAACTTTGATTTCTCGAAAGCATAATCTTAAGGGGTTTTCATGGGCAATTCTAGATTCCAAGTTGCATTTCACAACTCTCGTGGCTCATGTAAGACTCTAATAGGCCCTCGACTGAGTCATTCCATCAGTACCATTCCCTGCCACTCACAAAAAGACACTCCCCTTACCTCACTGTCCTGGATGGTCTCCTCACAGCCACCCAAAGCCTGGGACACATTCTCTATACACTGCGGACACAACCACACCAGGTCCCGGAACACCTGAACTACAGCTACAATGTGGGGGGGAAAATATTTATGAGAACAATTTATATGAGCTTTTGGCCCAAACAGAGGCCTCCAAGGCAGTTCGCAATAGTAACAATTTCAATACTTAAAAAACAGACAACATTAAAAACCAGAAGGAAACAGTTAAACACAAAACCATAGCAAGCAAGATTAATACACACTAAGATAACAACAACAATTCATTACTTGTACCGCACCCATCTGACTGGGTTGCCCCAGCCACTCTAAGCAGCTTCCATCAGAACATAAAAACACATTTAAAAACTTCCCCTTACAGGGCTGCCTTCAAATGTCTACGGAAAGTCATATAGTTGTTGATCTCTTTGACGTGTAAGTTCCTTGAAAAACAAAAACTTTACAAATCTACATCACTGGTGTATGGAAATTATCCTGGCCATAGCATTCTGCTCTAGCTTTATGAACACTTTCATGTTTCATCTGCATGGTTTGGGGTATTTGTCTCAAGCAAACAATTCTTCACACAACCCAGATACAGCAAACACTGTTTTCCAGTTTACAAGAATGCCAATGTGGGCTGAAGTCTAATCGATCCAGCATCTGTAAGCACGTGATAATTTGAAGAAAAGGAAGCAAAGAGTGATCACGTGAAAGAGGCACAAGTAAGGAATGGTACAGTGATGGAAACTGCAATGGAGATAGCACAGTTGTGTTCTGTAGACCACCGAATGGTAAGGCGGAAACCAAATCTCAATCAGAAGGGTGGAGATAGTTACCTGAAGTTATATGCTCCTGCTTCAGCTCAAGGAGTTCTGTTAGGATCCTCACACACTGCTCGGTGTAGGTCCTTGCAATGTTGCCTGTAAAGCCCACAAAACAACCCAAGCTTTGGTTAGGCAGCTTCAACTTAAGCTTTTATCCAAGTAGCACCACTGTAATGTATTCCCTCTATGAGAGTTGAGATGGAGCAAGAAGCAGCTTTCTTTCTTCAGTCAAAATTATTTAGTTTTCTCAAACCCAAGCTGTCCTTTTTTCCCAGTTTGGTGCTTGAGCACTCAGCCAGGAAGATGGGAAGTGTCCCTGGAACACTGCTGTGCCCAAGCAAAGTAGCTGGCTATTCAGACTCATTAGTACCATTAGTACCCCTGCCGGTGCCACATGTATAGACTAGCACTGAATGAAGCTCTATCTCCCTGCCTGGAATGGATCAACAGTACTACTATCACTTTTGTAAATCAACAAAATCTTTAATAAACAAATAAAAGGGGGGAAGGAAATAGAAAAAAACAGTACTACTATCATGAATGTGATCCAATGTGTTCCAACTCTTTTGTGGCACCATATAGAATAATTTCACATATCCCAAATATCAAGTTACCAAGGAGGGAACATTTTTCACTTCTTCTTTTTCTTTTATAACAAGATTTTCTAAAAAATAAGGCTTGTATGTAGATATATTGGAAGTATATTCTTTAGAGGGGCTGGACCTAGATTTCTAGGAGACAAAAAAGGCAAAGACTCTTTTTTTTGGGGGGGGGTCCTAAGCATTTTCTTAACTTAATGAATCACCAACAAGTTCTAGTATTTCTAAATGCCTGTCTTAATGCAGAAATACGACAACATAAGCACAAGTGGGTCAGCTCCAAGATCAGAGTGCGCAGCGAACAAGAAAAACGATTCAATAAAAGAGGCACAAGCAGGTTGTTAGAGACCATCTCAAAGAAATGGGAACAAGCTGTTTTTCATAGATTAACACTGCAATCCAAATCGCCTTTATGCTGGACGTGTGGGCGAGAGGGTTTGATTGGCAGAGGTGTCCCTCTAGCCAGGTCTGCTAATCTCTGGGGCCAGGGCAGAATGAGCGGGTACAAAATCCACTGTATCTGAGCTGGCCCTGTTCTCTCACAATGGCATCATCAAGCCAAGTCAGGCCTGATCGCTTGCACCAGCTCAGTTGGTAAAGAAAATTGTTTGCCTATCCCACCCCCTTTCCAGGCGTGAGTGGCAGAACTGTGGATGTTGGTGGCCCACCACTGTTAAGTTTGGTTGCTCCCTGGGCAGGGTTTCTATTGCAGCCAAGAAGGGACAGAGTAGCTGGGCCATAAACAGAAAAGCAAGAAAGGGAGAAGATTGAATAAAACTGAAATGCAGAAAACTCAGCAAAGAATTTCTGGGCATAATAAATACTTAGAAAGAGGAAGCTGATACCACTAAATTGGGTTATTGCCAAGAATTTTAAAAATTCAGAAGAATAACACATCCCCTACAGGCCAGAGAAATGCTGCTGTTAGCAATGGGGCAAATTCCAACAAGATGAGCCTTGACTTGAATGTTGTGTCTAATCCCCCAAATTCCCAACTACTTAGATCAGAACTAAAAAGTTAAATAAAGCGGCAGTCCTCAGACTAGCTCCACTGAACAATGACTTGCTTCTGAGTAGATATGCACAGGGCTGTGCTGTTGAGTTCTCATTGAACATGAGTAATGTTATCCTGTATACTGTTGAGAATTCAATTCCATGTATTATCAGAAGAATCTCAGATGAACTTTATCAAGAGAAGCAATAAATGTTTGTCTTTTCAGCGGCATTGCTGAAATCACTGGTAAACCTCAGCAAGTTATTTTGGACTACATGGCTTCAAGACTTCAACTATGAAACTACTATGGAACAGATTGTTTCACTTATTTCTATTCTGAGGGTCTTAATCTTTTTCTCAGTTCCTAAGGCGTTGGCAAATAAAGCATATGTCCTTCTGTCACCCAGTCTTAGAGAACATTTATTTGCATGGAGGAATCCTGCTAGCTCACTTACCAATGGCAAAGATTGCCCCTTGTGCAAGCTCTGCTGACACATCAGTGCAGTAATCTCTTAGTTCCTCCAGTATCTGTGGCACATTTTCATCGTTCACCAGCTTGCACAAAACCTCCATTTTCTGGCACTTGATATAATGCGGTTCTGAATATGAGCAGAAGAACTTCTTGTAGTGGCTACTGAAATGGCCGGGGAGGCTGTCTAAGATCTGGCGCACATGACACAAGGCAGTGAAACAGAGTTCCCGACTCTCAGAGGTGCAAGCAGACAGGAGCGGGCCCTTCACTCTCACCAGCACATCTTCCTGCACGTGCGGAAAGTCTCTGGCCAGCACTATGAAAAGTTTCGTGGCAGCCATCACCACACTGGAGCTGCTACTCTTGAGATATCCATCCAGCAAGTTAAGGATGTCAAAGAGCTCTTCTTCAGAGCGGGGATTGTAGCGCAAGAGGAAAGTCAACACTTCACTCTGTCCCCACTGGTCTAGGTCAGGCATCCTACCAAGGGAAGAAACCCAAATCAGTACACTGGCTATTGGAATTGCTAATTGCAATACCTTCGCTTGGCTTCCATAATCTGCCGGCCAATTATTTCCTAGATTTGCATCTTTACCCACCACTTATAAGGCAGAGTCTGAGAGACCTGCTGGAAAACTAATTCTGCGCTTCCACATTACTTTACAATTTAGGCGTGCAAAAATAGGAGTCTCAACTTATCTACTTGTTATGTTTTGATTAGAACAAGAGGTTTTCTGCAGCAGGTGTGACAACTACTCTTCCTTCCCTAAAGGTAACTGAAAAGAAGAGAGGGTAAAATAGGTTGAAGAGTTTGGTGGGTACCAAAATAACTGCTGCTAATAAAAAGCAGGGGGATCTCCATCCCAGTGTTGCCTGTTGGAACTGAGTGGGAAGGCACTGAAGACAAGGCTGGCCCTTCTGCTCAGCCGTCCACATGTTCAACTCTGATTGGTCTTGCCTAGCAGAGTGAGTGGGAGAAGGAACCCATTCACAGAACCCCTTCTCCACTGCAGAGAACTCTCTTGCAATATAAAAAACCCCCAAATACCACACAAATATTTAACAGAAATAACATAATTAACCCAAAATATTAAGATTTGGGTTTTCAGAAGGCAAAACGATTGGACGGAAGACTAAGATTCCATACCTATATGCCCTCATGAGATGAACTAAGAAAAAGGTAAGAGTGATTTAGTAGCCTTCGATACTGATACTTGTTAGTTTCACACCCATATCCTTGCACAACACATTTAAGTGCAGGAAACTGTGGGGAAGGGCCTAAGAAAGTAATGACTCACATGCTTGAAGAAAACCTTCATAGGAAAATTCTAGAACTATTTTATCATTACATTACTAGCATCAGATTATAAACGGCATCTCAAAATCCCTCCAAGATTCAAACGTAGGTTCAAAATAATGCTCCCCCCCCCCTCAGCTAATATCCAATCATTCATTCCTAGCAAGACCCACAACAAGCAAGTTCTCAGTGCTGTACCTGCCATTTCCCAAACTGGATTGCCAACCGAGTATTATTCAGCAGAATCAGAATTTGCAAGGTAACCATCCATTTCCCTTAACCACCCATTTCCCTTATGTAAAATACATTTTTTAAATGATCCACAAGGTGGCTTACTTCACACCCAAAAACACACACTAGCACAAATGCACAGCAACAACACAATTCATAGACATTTCCGCAACTTCAGACAGCAAGAGAAGGGCAATAGCCGAGTGACATACCAACGTCACCAATTGCTGGGCAGTTGACTTCTGCGAATCTACAAGCAAAGCACAATGGACTTCACAAACTGTTTGGGGGAAGAACTTACCTGTTGAGAAGATGGTGGGCAATGGGCTTGTTGATGACAACTCCTCCTTCGTGTGCCAGGATCTCCTCTAGCGCCCTCAAACAATTCACCACTACAATAGGATCCTGGTCACGAAGCAGACTATATAGCTCATTAACTAGTGCGCCGTCTGTAAAAAGCATGGAAGTTAGAGAATTTCCCCAACCCTAATGCAATAATCATCTGCCTAGGAGAGGGCCTCTTGCAAGCAGCGGTGGTGTTATGTGCATGCACATGTAACAAAATAACTCAACCCTCTCAATAACATGCCAGCTTCTTGCAAAGTACTGCTGCCAAGTGACTGGCGATAGGGAGAGTTCCAACCAGCAGGGCAAATACATTCTTAAAGCGGTATCTCGCCTCCAAGGGCTTTGGGCTCAGTGAAACTATTCCACAGCAGTCCATGCTGCGGTCTCTGCATTACAGCACCAAAATGACATGCTCCCGTTTTTATTCTTGTGTGAGTCTGGGAAAAATTAAATAGACTGAAAAATAAGCATGCATATTTACCCACTTCGCAGTCCCCTTGCAGTTTCTGCATCTTTGCACATCCGAGGACAGCGACTCTCCTTACATAGGAGGCTTTGTCTCGCAAACCATTCAGGATTGGCTGTTGGATATACTCCTGTATGCTGGGCATCCTAGGAATATTAAAGGGCCATCATGTTCCGACTCCTCCTAAATCCCTGTTTGTATATTTTACGTTACTCTGCAGCCTGCCATTCATTACATTAACAGACACTGCTGCTTTGCAACAGGCTTCCAATAGTTAGCTAAGACAAGGAAATGGGACTTCTGACAGCTAAAAACTTTGGCAGGATTTGGGTAACGCTTGTAATGTACTAAAAACTAAGGTAAAAATAGAATAGTTTGAAGAAAAATAGAGGAAAATATAAGATGCAGTTGAAAAAGATTGAAAATGGAAACCATGGAAGGGTGGAGGGAAGTCTTAAGGATTCGGGGAATCCTAAATGTTGATGATTATGTCTAATGTTTGAATTTAAATGTGTTAGAGTAAAACTGAATAAAAAAGATTTCATTTTTAAAAAAGGAGATGGACTTCTGTTCTATGCACAAACCACTTTAAAATGGCTTCAGTCAGCTGTGGGGGGGGGAGTCACCCCAAAATACTACTTCTCATGTTAATTCCTTGTCTTTCCACACTTTATTGCATAATAAGCATTTATAATCCTGAAGCCCCTTGTTGCTTAATAAGATGCAGCTGGCGGTACAATTCCACAAAGCTGATTTAGCTGGACCAGCCCAACAAAACCTTGTAATTAAAGTGGCATCTAATCCCTGGCAAACAGAGCAGTGAACTGTGGCAGCAGATCCCCTCCCTCGTGATGACACAAAGCGCAGTGTGTGAATGTACCTCCTTTCCATTCATCAAGCATTGGATCTGCACCCCAGAACTAGTGAGAGGACCATATTTATGCTCATAAACTTAAGACTGGTCATGCTTAGGGGCTCATGTCATTAAGCCACAGGGATGAGGAAGCCCAGGCCCACAGGCCTCTGTATCTGGACCTAAGGACTCTCCCCAGCCACACCCTTCAGCAGCCCTACTTTGCACCATCCTCAAGTGTTTCTGCCTGGCTGGAATGTGCCCTTGAACACAGACAAGACTTCTTGCTTGTCTGGATATAGGAAAGTGGGATGTGTGTGTTGAAACTAAGCTATGTGCAGAGGTAAAATTAACAATCATTGCTCGGCCTACTTTTGCTTCTAGTCTGGGGCATGTGGCCCCAGGAAAGTTTCCCAGAAGGAAATGTGGTCCTTGGGTTGAAATAGGTTTCCCACTCCTGAATGAAACAAGTTCTATTCCCCATAAGTGCCTATAGCGAAGGCCAAAACAAGCAGCAGCACCACTCCACTTATAGTTTTGTTACCTGAAACTGCACATGCTTCGCAAGGCGAGGCCCCTAACCATGGGGTTGGGGTCTGAGCAGTCTTTGCAAAGGGTGTTGATAGCTAAAAGAGCCAGATCGGGCTTCAGAGGAGCATATGTGCACATATACAAGTACACTAGTTTTTTCTGAACAATATCCACTGTGGCACTAGCTTTGACCATCTCCATAAACACACTGGACACATCTACACCTTGGGTCATATGCCTGCAAGTAAGAGATAAAGTATTTAAGCACAGCATCTATGTATTTATTATCAGTTAAAGCATTTGTATACCACTTAATTGTTAGAGTTTCTAAGTGGTTTACATAAAGTATCAGCCTACTTTAAACTCCTAAGATATAACAATAATGGCAAGAAACAATAAGATGGCAACAGACAACAGACAAGAATGGCAACAGACAATATATAAACTGTAACCAGTTCTTAATCACAAGAGAACAGCAAGTTTAGCAGGTAAAATTCCAGGAGAGAAAAGGTTTACCTGCATTTGGCCTAATGCGATAAATCAATTTGCAATCCATGTCTCGATCTCTGCATCACAAAACCAAACTAATAGTGCAATCCTAAGCATATCTATTCAAAAATAAATCCTACTGAATTCAATGCAGTTTACTCCCAGATAAATGGCCTAGGGCTGCGCCATTAAAGGACAGTTTCTGCAAATTGAAGAAATTGGCAATATGCTGTTTGAAAGGGTATAATGAAATCTTAAATGCCAGAAAGGGACCCAAACAGAACCTCCAGTAGTTGGGGTGAGTTTCAGGGCTGTGCGTATCTCAGTCTCTTTAAGAACAGGAGAAGTAGAATTATGCAAAATAAGAAGTATATGCAAATATAATGTATAGTAACCTCAAGGTTAGATTACTGCAATGCGTTATATGTAGGGCTGCCTCTGAAAGTTCGTAAACTTCAGCTAGTGCAGAATTCAGTGGCCAGGTTACTCACCGGAGAAAGACAGTTTGAGCATATTACACCAATCCTGGTCCAATTGCACTGCCTACCAATTAGTTTCTGGGGCCAATTCAAACTGCTGGTTTTGACCTATAAAGCCTTAAACAGCTCAGAACTGCAATACCTCAAGGACCACCTCTTCCCATATGACCCTACCCAGATCCTGAGATAATCTTCTGAGTCCCTTCTTCGTGTGCCTCCTCCTCGAGAGGTCAGGAGAGTGGCAACACCAGAACGGGCCTTCTCTGCAGTGGCTCCCCATTTGTGGAATGCTCTCCCCAGAGAAGTTTGCCTGCCGCCTTCGTTATACACTTTTAGGTGCCAGGCAAAAACATTCCTTTTTAACCAGGCCTTTGGTTGATTTGATTGACATCCTATGCCCTTTTAAAATGTGGGGTTATTGGGAGGTTACTGGGTTGTTTTTTTATTTTGATTATGTATTTTGTGATTTTATATTTAGATTTTATTCTGTGAACCACCCTGAGACCTCTGAGTATAGTGCAGTATATAAATTCAATAAATAAATCATCATCATCATTGTTGATATTTCATCATCATCATCATCATTGATATTTCATATGAACTTTGAGGCACATACGTGCAGAATTTTTATTTGTTTTTTAGAGCATGGACAATATAACTTAGTCCATGACAGAGTGATAAGAAGAGGGAACTAGAAGACAAACAGAGAAAGGCAATTGTGCTACCTTGTACAAGGTCTTCACCCTCTGATCAGGTTTCTGTTTCATTTCCAAGCAATGGGTGAGGTTAATTTCTGTGTCGGGGCTGCATTTTTTATTTATTTGAATAATTTAAAATACTGCTTAATACTACCAATTCTTTCGTTTCCATTTCCGTTTAATTAGTAGTCTGCATTTGGTTGTTTTAATTGGCTTTATTGTATGTCAGCATGAACCCACTAACCAATAAGGCAACAACAACAGCCTTTCTAGGGTCACAAGATACTCAGTTCATACACATCTGAGCACCCAGCATTTTGGGAGCCCCAACTACAATGCCCAAGTAGCAGTCCAGGCCACAGACCTGATCACTCGCTGGATAACATTCCTGTAGCGGAGACGGTCAGTTTGCACATGAGGGTTAGACAGTGCTCTCTTCAGCTCCTTCACTGTATCCTCTGAGCCTAAGTATGGCATCTCGGATGGGCTCCTAAACACCTAGGGAGAAAAGACTGTGGAGAAATCTGTAGTAAGAACAGAGAAAGAACCCTGCCAGATCAAACAAGAGGCCTAACTTGGTACAGCAACCTGTTTGTCACGGTGGCAGAAGATAAGGACAACAGCGCTCTCCTACTATTGGGAAGGGCTCTGGCTTAATGGTAGAGCACATGCAAATGGTGCCAGATTCGATCTCCAACATCTCCTGGTAGATAACTCTGTTTGAAACTCTGGAGAGCTGCTGCCAGTCAGATGATACTGAGAAAGATGGACCAATTGTCTGCCTCAGTAGAAGGCAGTCTCTTAGGTTCTCAACAAGACAAAGTCACACAGGGACCTTCACAGAGTGGTTTTTAACCCTGGCCTCCTAGGTTCTAGTCCATGAAATATCCTTCCACATTCTGGGAATCAGTCTTAGAAGAAAGACAGGTTGGAGTAATCGTGAGCCAGTTGGGAGTGCTAAACCAGGACTGGGCAGATCCAGGTTCAAGTCCTTACTCATCCAGGAAGCTCACTGGGTGACCTTGGGCCAGTCACCCTCTCTCAGCCTAACCTACCTCGCAGGGATGCAAAGATTAAATGTGTTTTGGAGGGAGTTAATGTTCTGCTTTTGTTCTATTTATTTGTGCTTTTACCCTGCAGTTTTATCTTGTGAACCTCCCCGAGATCTTCAGACGGAGGGTGATATATAAATGTAATAAAAAATGGAGAATGCGTATGCTGCCTTGAGCTCTTTGGAGTAAACGCAGCATGCAATAATAAAGAAACGAAACAATGTTCTCCTGCAACTGGCACTCAGAAGTACCGCAGATGCCATACAGCCAAAACATGCCTACTAGTTCTATTGCCCAATAATTCGCAGTGGCTCCCCAGGCTTTCAAGAGAGGGTCTGTCCCAGCTCTACCTAGGGATTTCAGGGGTTTGACCTGGGACCCTTTTGTGCGTAAAGTGCGCCTTGGGCTAGCGCCCTTCCCCGCGCTCGGAAGCCTAGCAGTTGCAGCGCAGCAGTCAACTTGCAAGTCCCTGGGCTTTGCCGGAGAGGAGAAGGAAGGAAGCAAGCAGTCGCCAGGTGGGGCGGGAGTCGGGACATCGGCTCCGGCCAGGGTCGTCGGTCGTTTTCCCCACGTACCTTGGCGCGAGTCTCGCCCGCCCACGGCTGCTCAGTCTCGCACCGACCAACAAAAGGGGCCGGCGTCTTCCTGGTTCTCTCCCAACTCCTTCCGGGTTTCAGCCTCCATGAGCGCCGGGTTAAAGCGTCAGCAGGAACGAGCGCGAAGCCGAGCGGAGGAAAGCTCGCTTGCATTTTAAACCACGCTGGCTTCCTGCCTTCTCACGCTTTTAAAACAAAAAGGCTCCTGTGTTGGAAGTGCCCTCAAGGCGAAGAAGAAGCAAGACTTCCTCCCTTGTGAAATGCCTACCTGTGTTGGTCTAGGCTTTAGGAAATAAATGGGAGCGGAACGGCAAAGCGCGTTAGGCGGGTGGAAACTAACGCTTCAAGAAAGAAGCATATTCCCTTGTTGTTGTTACCATCAAGGATAGTAAAGCCACAGCTATACTAAAACTCTGCAATTTCTCCATTGTTCCTTACAGGCAGCTGCTCCCTCCTTGCCCTCCCAGAGAGGACCCGTCCTCCAAAATAACCAAGGGAGTTCGCCTCCAGCCAGCGGAATTCCCAGCCAGATTTCTTTTACGCACCGAGTAGCTGAACAAACGGCTGCTCGGTAATAAATGCGCATCTACTCCTGCGCGCGTCCCCAAACTGTAGGACACGGGGCGTTTGCTTCCTAGCAAGCCGGTCTCCACCAGCATGTGGCGCAGTCCTGTTTCCGTTTCGCAGAAAGCGCTGTGTTTCTACGAATACCTTGGCGCCTTGGGAGCGGGAGAGTTGTTTTGATTTCTTCGGCGGGAAAATCCGACGGTGCAGAGGGAGATCCGAAGGGCGGGGAGCCTGGCGATCCTCCCTGCAAGCAAAAATGAAAGCAGCTCTCCAGTACCGGCGCTCCGATTCAACCCGCTGACTGCAAAGCATTTTAGCAACGGGAGGGAGACGCCCGTTCCCTTTCCCTGCTCTCTGTGCCGAAGGCCTTCAAAATAGCACAGTAAGCTCCCTTTACTCCTCGCTACAGTTTTTGGTTTTTGGGGTGGGAGACAGGACCGCGAGAGCGAAGTGGGCAAGCGTTTCTGGGACCGGATGTGAAACGTGTATTATTTTATTAAAATGTATGCACCCTCAAAGCCGTTTTACAAACATAAAACGATAAAATTAACAATAATTTAAAACTTTGGGAAAGTTACAAGAAGAGACTAAAAAAAGATTAAAACGTTCTTAACAGCTGACACGGGTACCTTTATAAAATAGAAATGCTTTTTAGTTTAGACAGGCGTGAAAAGAGTCTACGAGTTGACAGCTGGGTAGGCTTGTATAAATAGAATGTTTTAGCAGGCGCTGAAAAGAGTACAGTGAAGGTGCCTGCCTGGTATCACTAGGCAAGGGAGTTCCAAAGGGTAGTAGGTGTCCTTTGTACAATCACTCCGGTACAGTTCCTTCCTGTAATTTTAGAGTCCCCTTTGCAACTATCCTGCTTCCTCATCTTACCTGCTGTTGCTTCTCAATCCAAATTGTTAGGCCGTCATACTAGTTTGTATCAAAGTTCTATCCTATGGAGCTCATATTCTTATAATCTTATCTGCCGGTCCTCTTCCCACCCTTTCTCATTCTCACAGTCTGGCCTGAAGGATGTGGTAGCTACCAAAGGTAGCGGTTTGTGACTCATTTGCATCCTGTTGCGTTGGATGAGTTTTAGTTGGTAACGCTTGAGGATGTGAACAAGATGCTTGGTTTGTTCCGAGCAACCACTTGGCCCCTTGTCCTTTTGCCCCTTGTGGATGATAAAAACTAGCAGAGGGAGCACACCTGTCAGGGGCAGTTGATGAATGCCTACTTGTGGGAGAGGCCTGCTTGAAGGAGGCAGTGATAAAACTACACCTTAACCTCTCCTGAATTTAGAAAATTAAGTAATTACCAGCTGCTAAAATTTAGGACTTCTGAATACATTTAAGGATAAGGTTGTAAGCACCACTATCCCAACCCCTGTCTCTCCTTTTATCTCTTTATTTGTGAATCTTTATATTCCTGTTAAAACATGTATCTCAGATTTTATTTCTTGTTGATCCAATTCTATGGCCATTAGTAGTTTTATTGATGCCCCCATCCACCCTTGACTTTTCTGAGATGGTTTTGTTTGTTTTTGGTATTCAGAATTTCCCCCTTTCTTTTAACAGGAGCTGGACTGATGAATGGAACTCTCATCGCAGGCACACCCATTGCGGTGGATTTTTGGAATATCAGAAAAGCTGGGAGGGCTCGTTTGTTCTTTCTTTCTCACATGCACAGTGACCATACAGTGGGGCTTTCCAGCACGTGGAACCGACCTATTTATTGTTCTCCGGTTACTGGTCAAATTCTGCATCTTAGACTGAAGGTAGATCTTTACACACACATGTGCGATCTTCCACCACTTTAACTTAGAGGATGCCTACAGTTGACTCTGCCATGCCTTCATTCTGTTTTTAGGTGGCTGAAAAATGGATCCACCCTCTGGAAGTTGGAGACAGCCATGTCCTGGCCTTAGATGAGATGCAGAGAGAGACTATGACTGTGACCCTGATAGATGCTAACCACTGTCCTGGATCTGTCATGTTCCTGTTTGAAGGTTACTTTGGTGTCATCCTTTACACAGGTATGTTGAGCAGAGACATCTAACATTTTCCTCTGTGCTTTTTGCTATCTCTTAATTTGTTTCTCAGCACAAACACCTTGCCTATTTTCCAGAAATTATTTTTAAAATTACTTGCTTATATATACAGTGGTACCTCTGGTTGCAAACGGGATCCATTCCAGAGCCCCATTCACAACCTGAGAGGAACGCAACCCGCGTCTGCACATGCACGGGTCGCGATTCGCCGCTTCTGCGCATGCGCATGACGGCATTTTGCATGTCTGTGCATGCACAAGCGGTGAAACCCAGAAGTAACCCTTTCTGGTACTTCCGGGTCGCCGCGGGACGCAACCTGAAAAGACGTAACCTGAACCGAACGTAACAAGAGGTATGACTGTATATGAAATACACACAGAGAGATAGATAGGCAGAAACACCCCTTGCCTGTCTTGTGTCATGGAACCAAGACGTGGTTTCCAGCTAGGTAGCAACCAGACCTTAGTTTCAGCAAGGTGCTGGCCTCATGTGCCTTCCATATCCTGGGACCGGTAGCCATGTTAGTCTGTTGAGAAGTCGGGGGCTGGACAGAAGAGGAGGAGTGGTGGAGACAGCCTCCCATCCTGACCCTTCCAGGGAAGAGGAAGAGCAGGACAGTATAGATTTACGACAGTGATTTGTGCCAGGTCACAGCTCAGAGGCAGATGAGAGAGAAAGTTTCTTACAGTCCTTTTTTATTTCAGACTTTACAGAGAAAGGCTATAGAACCCAGCCTCATGGATAATGGGGTTGTTCTGAGTGAATCTCCACCCCCCTTCTCTCCCACTTCCTCATTCACCATCATCACCTCCTCCTCTACAGGTGTTGCTAAGTGCCCTCAGTCTTTGAGCTCTTTGCTCTCCTACTTTTAAGGCCCGCCGGGTTCTGGGAGATGGTGGGTCTGGAATGCTTTCTAGTGACAACGTGTCAGCCAGCTGCTGCTCCTGCTCCTCCTCTCCCATTATTTTCCAACTTGCCCCCTTGTTTCTCCCTCTCCATCATATGAAGGCAGAGTGGGATGGCAGTTTCACCAGTGATATATCGCTGGTGAAACCACCACTGCTCCTGAGTCCCTCTGCTGGCAGTGCCCACGGGAGGAAGGAACTCTTGACTCCCTCCATCAGACGCTGCTACACAGGAGCTGTGGTGGTTTCACCAGTGATATACCGCTGAGTGAAACCAACACCACAGTCTGCTTCTGATACCGGTCCGGGGCAATATATTGATATATTGCCCAAGCCTACTAGCCACACATGGTTAATAATAATAATAATTACTATTATTTTATTTTTTATACACCACCCATCTGGCTGGGTTTCCACTCTGGTTGTGTCACAAGGAGGAACAAAGCAATAATTTCAGACTTGAAATTTGTATAGAAACAGTTAATAATAAACTCTGCTGCAGCAACTTCTTCCACAGTAACCAAAGAAGCTGGCTTATCCTTAGCTTAGTCCTTTGGAATTTTAACCATAATTTCCATTTTAACCCTTCAAGTGGCTTTCCCCTGACGGGTATGTGACATCTGTGCCTCACCAGGTGATTTCCGCTACACTCCCAGCCTGCAACAGGAACCAGCTCTGAAGAACTCAAAGCTTATCAGCAGCCTCTACCTGGACAATACCAACTGCCACCCCGATATTGTCATACCATCCCGGCAAAAGGCCACTGAACAGATCAAAGAGGTGATCAGAGCCCACCCTCATCACCAGGTTAAGATTGGTAAGTAGTCCTAATAGGTTTGGAAGACGTTTCTTAAACTGGGTGAGGAACTCAAGGCCTTCCAGCTGTTGCTTAACTATAATTTGCATCCCTGATCTTTGGCCACGCTAGCTGGGGCTGATGGGAGCTGGAGTCCAGCAACAGGTTCTCCATCCCTGTGTTGGCTAACACACTGGAATTTTCAGCGGCTGTTCAGAAAGGAACACAAGTATGGACCTCATGCAGCGGTTCCCAAACTTTCTCCCCCACAGACCACTTGAAATTTGCTGAGGGTCTTTATGAACCAATTAAGGATTTTTCATTTTTACAGACATACCACAGACTACCTGGATTTGTGGACTGCTGGTGGTCCTTGGGCCACAGTTTGGGAATCCTTAAACTTAGGACATTAAAGAAATCTTACCTTTTTCAAGTGAGGTTTACAAGCACATCTCCCCCAAATTCATATGTGAAAATTGATCCTGTACAATGAATTACTCTGAAGGATGTGAATCCATAAAATCTGGATGATAAATTCATAGCTGGGTTTAGTAGCGCAAGGATCATTAACCACTGGGGCAGGCACTCACTTGGGGACAGCGTAGAATTACTTGGAAAATGTACACACTATACCTTTAAACCATGTACATTCCTACAATGAATTCTG